CATCACACAAATGTACTGTATGTTCCTTATAAATGTGGCACCATTAAAAAGAAAACGTAACAGTCTTTCCAACTATATGAGATGAATTGCCAAGAAGCATTGTTACAACAAAGAAATCATCTACCAAACACACATTTCAATGCTTTTTGTGGTAAGCAAATATGTGCAAAAGAGAAATGACAAAATCATCATCATTAAGGGAAACTCCCATTTTGTCTAATGAGACACTACTCTTATTCATTGGYCAATATTTTGAAGTTAAAACAAACATTGGTTAATATGCCCCATTATCAGATAGGACATACCTTCAAATATCCAATAGACACAAATGCTTTCACTCCTCTGTAAAAARTCTGGTTTCTGAAGGACGTTTTAAAAGTTAACTAATTTCTTACTTGCAATCAGAAGAGATGGGTCACTTCCTCCACCTTTGATTCATCAGYATGAATAGTTTTTAGGCATTGTGTACCTCACCAAACTGAGATAAAATTAAATTTATGTGAGCACATTGTAAGAAAAAGTGCACATGCACACACACAGACACAGACATTCTCTCAGAGACACAAACATGAGATTAGTTTTGGAGCAAATGGACTGGCAATGTCCTTGGCATTTCTTAAATTATGTTTAAGAACAATCAGCGTCTTGTAGGTAAACACCCCTTTTCCTTCCCCATGTGCTCATCTATCACTGCCTCTCTGTCCACAGAATATCTAAGAAAAAAATAGGACTGAAAGTCATGCCACAAAGTCAAAGATCTTTACAGAGAACAGTGTCACCTACTGGCCAACAATGAATTTATAGAAAACCAAAGGCATACTGTAAGTAAACATTGTGTAGGTTTTGTGAACATATAAAAACCTGTTCTCAAGTGAGTCATGACTAGAATAAGCAACTTTGGAAACATGAGGTGAAAGTCTGCTGACTATACAAAAAAGTACAATCATATTCACAGTGATGAGGATTCGAGCAGTACTTGTAGGGACAAAAGGTTAGATCAAGGGTCGCATAAACATCTGATAAGAACATTCTGGAAAAGTTGAGATCATCAAACAGTCCACAAACAGATTTAATAAGTGTGTATTGGGTGGTCGTAAATTTCCAGCCCAATTTCTGGGAAGAGACCACCCTTCCTGGATACGTAGAATTTGTGTCATGAAAACAGTTTGGGTATAAAAGGGTCTGATTTCTAAATACGTCAGTTCAGTTTGGATGTCTTTTCTGTCGGTTGTAACGAACTGCTGAACTCAATAAAACTCCCTCTTCGGCTGGCCAAAAGCGACGTCTCCTCATCTTTTTTTTTTTTTCATCTTGACAACAGAGAATTGCTGCCCCTTCAACAACAATGTAAGAACTTGCCTCTATCATATTTCACTTTTTGATTTCCGGTGTTTGTGCACCAGTATATGTCCCACACAAAATGCACTGGCAGTAATCGTGCATACTTCCCCACTGCTGTGAACTGCATTGTTAAACAAAATATAGCCTGTGGAAACATGGCACATTTTATTACCTCTTTTACACAATATTGAAGGGCTGAAGATACAGTATGATTTCTTATGTATGTCAGTTTTTTATTCGTATGTCTTTTCACATTTGTTGTTGATATCCTTGCTGTTTTTTTTTCACACATTCAGACGAAATAGAGCTGAGAACATCCATAGCTGCAGAAAGTACATTAACTGTTGTAGAGCATGAGATCACTAAAATTGTCAGTTTCAGTGGGTTGTTCCTTTTTAGATTACTGAGTGTTAGTTTATTTATTTATTTGTATTTACTGTATATCTCAACTTGTTGATATTCTCAAGTGAACAAACACAGTTGTTGATGGGAAATGAGACAAAACATTGATATTGTTTTGCTCTCAGTTTTTTGAATGTTTACAACTTAAGCTCTGCTTCATTGAGCATTCGAGGTAGGCAGCTTGTCCTTTTTGTAGCCAAGTTAGAGGCCTTATTCCCAAAGGTCACTTGTGCTATGCATAAACAGACATGAACCACTAGACCAGAAATTCTCTGCAGCACATGATGCAGTTCACAGCCAGATAAGAACAAATCAGATAGAGTGCCGGTCGGAACCTTGAAACGTTTGAGCACCATCTGGTTTTGAACTCATCCAAGAGGAGAAAATCTCACCAGGTTAGAAAAAGAGGAAACGGATAAATAAAACTGATGGAGAGAAAAAAATAAATAAAAGCCAGAGGGAAACAAACCTAAACAAAACAGGAAATCTTACATTTTTCCAAGGCTTTGTTTTCTATTATTACTGAGCAATTGAATTAAATTTGCAACAATATTCTTGTAATACTACTGCAAAATAAAAACTCACAATTTTGGATTATTTTCTTTTCTGCTTTTTAGTACTATGTTGTTTGATCTTGATTATAAAGTTACATGCCTGTTATCACACTGATTATTTCAGCACTTTATGCTCAATGATTCTTCTGTTCACACGGTGTGTTCCAGCTTGCTATTTCAGCAGGTCTTCTGGGACCTATTATGCTGTTATAATTACTGTTGAGAGGACTATGGGGATAGTCTGTGGCTTTGCAACATATGTATCATAATCTTATATATCCATGGGCTATCTCTACTGCTGAATAAAGTGTAGATTTGAAATAGAATGATTGTACTCTTAAATAAAGATGTCTGTCTGCTTGTTTTTTGCTAGCCCTGATTGAACGACTTAAAAATGTTCGCATTACATATCCTTTGCACACTGATTCACCGAGTAAAGCTTCCTGTAGGAATTAAGTTTCCTCTTAGCTTGTGCTGTCATACTTCTGTTACATCGCTACTTTTTTTGGCATGGAAAAGCCAGCTTGGATTTCAAATGCGTGTTTAAGTCAAAAACACAGAGTAAAACTTTTTTTTGTTTTTGCTATTCTAAGTGAGAATGTGACTCCAAGTAGCTTATTATCCTCAGACACAGAAAGCAAGTGCCTAAATGTGTGAACAAAATTGAGGATAAAGGTAGAACGTGTGAGGATTTGGTGTTTTGTGTGTTTTCTGTTCTTGTCTTGTGCTTCCATCTAGTGTTCATGTCATGCCTTGTCATCTCAATCCTCAGATTATTCAGCCCTTCTAGATCATTCTGCTCACCTGTCTTCACTCCTAATCATCACAGCTGTCTCCACTCTCCGCTTAGCCTCTGACCACTTAAACTGGTTCTCATGCTCTCCACCTTCGTCCGTTCATTGTTTGTTTCTGTTTGGTTCATGGTCTTCCCTGGCTTCCTTGTTCCTGCTCACTTGTAAGTCTTCTGTTTTTGCCACCACGCTGGCCTTTAATTTGAGAAAAGTTTTGTTAAATTTTTAAGTCTTCCTGCCTGCCTGCATTTGGGTCCATCCTGCCACTAAGTCCTGACAAAACGTCTAGATTAGGGTAAGGTGCAGGCAGGTTACAGTAAAGGCACATGTGTCAAGCTCAAGGCCCATGAGCTAGACACAAACTGTCACAGCATTTTATGCAGCCTGCGTAAACTTTAGCCCTTGAGAGCTTCAAAGATGATCCGTGTGTGCTGCTTTAAAACCAGCACTGACCATAAACTACATTTCCCATAATGCATGTTGATTTTACTCAGGTAATGACAGCATCCCACCACTAGGTGCTCAGGGTTCAAAAGTGGACGGCAGCTGGCAAAATTCACTATGTAAAAACTCCATTTGATGACTACGTGGCTACTACTGCCGCAGCCCAGTTTCATTGGGATGTGGGAATTTCTCATTTACAAGTCACACATTTGGACTGGAATGCCCCTCCAGTGGGAATGTCCTGTCTGAAAGTGGGAGAGTTCAGAATTCAAGACAGCAGCTACTCACCACAACTCAACGAGTAAAACTCTTTCTTTTACTTTTAACCGTATTTCTGTTTTATTGATTCTACATTTAGTTAATCAAACCCATAGTACTTTTTAGAGGACATGCTGTTTCTATGCATGAAATACAACTTAACGCTCAGTTATTGTTTGTGAGTTGTACTCAGCTGTTTTATGTTTAGAAGTTATTTACAACGCCTCCTAAAAGGAACAATAATGCTCATGTGGCCCACGGAGAAAAGTTTGACATCCCTGAGTTATGGCAGCAGTTAATGCTAGTCTCTGTGTAACACAGTGCCATGTCTTCCAAAGTCACAGAGACAAAGTTCCTGTTTGTGTGCAGGGTTGTGTTTGTTGTGTCTCTGTGCAGCAGATAAAACGGAGGAGAAAAGCCAATAATTTCAACTTTTGTACATTCAGGCATTCAGCAGCTCGTTCTCAGTTCACTTTTACAAATATTTGTTTGTGCAGGCCTGTGACCGCAAATATGTTTGAGTGTGCGCGTGTGTGTGTACGCTCGTAGCTGTTTGCATTACCAGACTTTTTGAGTTGAACCCTTTATTTGAACATAGAGGTCAGCTGTCCTCATGGCCTACTAATGCTTTCTGTGCAGCAAACACTTTCTGACATTATCCTCCAACTCTATGCAAGTGGCTTTGCAATCAGCTGTCATGTTTTTTTTTAAATAAGACTGACTGTTCCAGCTATTTAATAGCTTACAACAGGGCTATTCAACTAAATTGCTTTGGGGGCCACAGTTTACTGCAGGCCAACAGCTCAGGGGCCGAACATCCAGCAATTAAAGTCAAACAGTACCTAAACCAAGTATTACAAAGATTTATTACTCATAAATTAGTTTATTTAGCTGCATTTAACATGAATCCAATGTTCACAACCTAATATAATACAATTATATTAAAACATAGCTAAAACAAACATCATTTTAACATCCCTGAATTGCCATATTTTTAAAACACTTTTATTTTTACTTCTGAGTCCATCATCACCTCCTCCATCACTGTGTGGTACACTGGTGCCACAGGCAGAGACAGACAGACTGCAGTGCAATGGGCCTCATGCAAGAACATGTTCGTATTTTTATCCTAAATTTCTCTTACTTTTGTTCGTACAAAGGGTTCGTATGAACATGTCACGTCAGATTCAACAAACTCTTCTATCTTCAGGAAACGTGTGTAAATGAGCTGCGTAAATTTCCACCTGTTCTAT